TCCCATTCGTAGTCTGCTTCGAAGTCTCGCAGCATTCAATATATTATACCGGTCGCTCGCCGGTAAACTGAGAAAAAATGGCCCGTCAAAGTCAATCTTTGAAAAATCGTAAAGGTTGATGTTTTCACCAGATTGAAACTGCTGAGCGTATGCTTCCAATTCTTCGTGTGACATGATTCTAGGGTCATTCGGTGCACCCATTTCTGCTAGAGACATGTCTAGCTCTGGAAGATGGTATGCGTCAGTTTTCCGAAACTGTCTGTTCCTTTGCCTCTCTGCTTTGGACATCAGTGTTTCCTCGGCATATATTAATTCATCTGGCAGTTGTTCCTCCTCCGGCTCATGGCGTGGTTTTGTTCTTCTCTTTGCTGCTTCTTCCTCAGCTTGTCTTTGAATCTGAATGGCTAACAGTTTGCTAGCAGTCCTTGCCGCATCTTCTCTCCTTCCTTCTCTGCGCCTCTTTCGGTTTGCAATGGTCTGCCGCTTGAGTACTGGTGCGCCACCATCAAAAACGAATACCGGCTTGATACCGAAGAAGAGTAGTTTGCATATTCGCCGGAAGAACCCAACAATATGAGCATTACGTAGAGCATTGCCCTCTTTATCACGCACGGCTTTAAGAAACTGATATATCCATATAGATGCATCGATTGCGAGTCTTCTCTTGTTCAGGGTTTCGAGTTTGATAGGCCGGGCACATGGCTTCACAACCGTCCAAAGTCCGGTCACACCCATGGTGTAAAGTTAGCCGCAGTGTTGACATGGGAAACAGAGTAGTACCGTCAACATAGCAGCATACCCCCTTATGTCTGCACTTTGGTGGAGGGGACATAGGATGAAATGAACGTTTACAATAAGAATTTCCAGCCGCTTTAATTTATTGATTAGTCATCTAACACGTCAGATCGCGTGATCACGTGGCTCACATGAGGCTCCAAACTTACTTTACACTCAAAAATTATCTCCCCTCCATAGTTAATATAAAAAGAGTATTTGAAAAAAAAAGTCGTGTACTTAATGATGATGATTGGCATGAATAAAACACATATTTAGAGTGGTCTTTATTCTATGCATATTTAGTCTCGATGTCATGCTCAATTAAGGTAGGTTTTTTATTTTTCACGCTCTCATTTTGTACTTCGCACTAAACAATCGTTCAGAATCATGATACATGCCTTCCCATAACGGCGGTCAAATTTTTAAACATACCCAGCAGGAAATTAATCATTAGTGGGAGTGGTCCATACATTCTCCTACTCGATGAATCTAGTGGCATATCCCTAGGTCGCTTTCGAGTGTTTGAACAAAATGCTATTCACGGAATACAGGTTATCGAGGAGCGTTGGAGGAATGGCAATTCCGTGACTCTCTTAGCGTGGGGAGGACAGTCCCTTCGTTTAATTGAATTACACTCAGACGGACCAGATGCTACCGAAAACCTAACCGTATCAGCAGGAAGTGTTGAATGTTGGGCACCAGATTGGATTTTGGATACAACCATTCCTAGTACTCCACCCCAAAATAAAGGGGGTATCAGAGGCTTGATAATTACTGCACATAATGTGGTATTCGCCTTGCAGTTCATCCTTCACGATACGAAGCTGAGGAGTGAAACCCTCATCCAGCTACATGAACTCGGGTCAAACCTAAGGCCTATTCTATATTCTGCTGATATCACTTGGGATTCTAGCTACGTCCTTGTTACTGCCGGAACAGTGTTCGGTGAGATCATAGTGTGGTCTTGCCATTTAACGCCAAATTCAGACCCTTACCAACGAGTTGATGATTCTATTAATATCCACCGCTTTTTTACAGGCCATGAGGGATCAATATTTGGTGTGGATATTTCCCCAGATATACCGTTAAATAGCGGAAAGGCAACGAAGAAATTTGTTGCAAGCTGTAGCGACGATAGAACTATCCGCATTTGGGATATATCTTTATGTGCCTCAGAGCTTGCCAGTGGCAGCCATTCCTCAACTATGGAAAATTACACAAATAGTCGTGGAACTGGATTTCATATAACCACAACCGATGATACAGCTATGGGGCAAGAATCCTGCCTCGCAAAAGAATATGGCCACGAAGCTCGCATATGGGGAATCCGATTTCTTGACTTTGAGATATCTGACCAGTATATTACTCTCAGTCTAATTTCCAGATCCGAGGATTGTACTTGTCTGGTGTGGAACTTGAAAATAAAATATGAACTTATTGATGGGGAATATATATTGCAGAAAAGTGAAACTACCTTGAAGATAATGTCTTCTTATGCTTACCATGTGGGTAAAAACATATGGTCCATGGAAGTGGTTGATAAGAAAGATTCGTTTGGTGTGTACACAGGAGGAGCTGACAGCAATATAACATCCTTCCTTGTTCCTCGGATTACTGGAGAATATAACCCTGGAAGAAAGACGGAGGTTTATACCCCTGAGAGTATATTTGAGGAGTTTCTTCGCCTAAATAAAAGCCAGGTTGCAGGTGCTGCGAACGCGAAGCAGCTCAGAAATGGCGGCAAAATAAATTTGTTTGGCCTTGTTTCGAAGGATTGCTTTATTGCATCATTCGCCGAAGGAAGTGTTCTCTTGGGTCAAATTTCCACTCTTAAACAGGGCGATATGTCGTCGCAAGATAACCCATTGCTACAATGGAGCACTGTTCCTACAATTGAAGGAATAGGCTCATATGGAGCAATATCCGGCATCCCAGATCGAGAAATTGGTCTGATTGGTACCAGCGCAGGACAAATATTGTGGTATAACCATCAAAGGAGAACCATAGAAAACCTGGCAGATATAGGCCGAAGCGTATCTGATATCTTCATAATCCAGGCACCGAAGTGCTATGACGGCGTTAACAACTCCCCCATAGCATTCATCACAAGTTCCAGAGCGTTTTCACATGCCGATCTCTTTATCGTTGAATCTATACCATCACCCAAGATCCTCGCAAGACAACAGCTCACGTTACCGGAAGATTTTGTGGTCTCAAGTGCTCTTTCAATTCCATCAATGTCATTGCTAGTCCTTGGGGCCAGATGGGGGAATATTGTGGTCTTTAATTTTGGTTCTGAAACCCGTGTAGCAACGATGGAGATCCATTGTCTGTCTTCCGGGCTCACAAGAAGATGCGGTTACGTCCATTTCATACTTAAATGAAGATATAAATTCCAGTTTG